AAGGCAAAGTTAAGGTCATCCCCCAAGGCAAAGTTAAGGTCATCCCCAGCTCACCCGCAACGCGCAAAACACTCGGCAGGAAAAAAAACCACTGTAAACCTGCGGAGATCAATGGGACCCGCCTGAAGCGCTGCCCGGGCTCCGAGCCAGCTCCTGCCCCGCGAACTCCCCGCACACACCCGCCTCCCCCGAGCCCCAGCCCCGCAGAGCTCCGTGAGCCGCCGGGGGCGGGGAGGGACGGTGCGGACCCGCTGCCGGTGCCGCGGTCGGGGCCGCCCTCACCCCGCGGAGCATCACCTCAGGGACGGCGGAGCCAGTGCCGCCTTCTTCTCCTCCTTCTCCTCCGCGTGCGGCCGCTTCCCTTTCCCCTGTTCCCCCTTCCCGCCTCCTCCCGCCGGGGCCTCTTCCCGGGGCTCGCGCACGTCACGGCGCAGGGGGCGGGGCGAGCGGCGGCACCGCCCATTGGCTGGGGAGGCGGCTCCGCGTGGGAGGGGCGGGGCGGGGGGCGCGGCACGTGAGGCGCACGTGGGGGCGCGCGACCCCCCCCTCAGCTCCCCCCTCCTCTCCCTCAGGAATCGCCGCCTTCTCCCGGTGATCCTGAGGCGGGGAGTTAATGCGCCGAGAAATGTGGAGACCCACCCGCAAGGGGAAGGCAGCGCCCAAGGCTGGTAAATGCTCGAAAGGAGCAACAAGAGCCAGAGGGTCCGCAAACAGTTCAGAAAGTTTTATTGGTAAATTACACACTTGGCGTGGAAATTGGTATGTTGGTCCCTGACCCGCTGTGTAAGCACACGGCAGTGGGTTCTGTCTGGATAAAGGGGTAGGGTGAAAGGGAAGAGAGAGAGGAAGAGATTGATTGAAGAGAAAGGAAAGGAGGGAGGAAGGAAAGGAAGCAAGGAAGGAGGGAAAGGAAGGAAGAAGGGAAAGGAAGGAAGGAAAGGAAGGAAAAGAGATCACCAGTCCTGGTTCCAGCGTCAGTCCAGCTGAGGGAATGTCAGTCAGTCCTAGTTCCAATGAGTCAATCCAGTTGGTGTCCCGGTTCCAGCTGTGGATCAGCTGTGTCAGTCTGGCCGATGGGACCAACCGGGATGTGGGACAGCTGTGCCCACCCAGCCCAGTGCTGGGCTCAGTGCCCCCCACAGGCAGTGTCTGCCCTTGCCCTCAGGACCTCCCGCTCCCCACATCCCCGGCACAAGGAGAACTTATTTCAAGGCCCTGGGAGGACACGGCAGCCAAGGCCGGGAGGGCCCGGCCACGTTATCTGTGCTCGTCCTTCAGTGGGAATGCACGGGTTGCTAAACAAGCGCTTCCCGTGGCACCCGGGCTCAAAGTGTCCTCCCCGGGGAGGCTCTTCCAAACAGGAGCCAGGGTAGGTATTTTTACAGGGAAGTAAAAGTGGAGTGCCCCCCAACTTCAACAGTACCCCCAGTCCCCCAAGAAGGGGAATCTGTGGCAAGGGAGTGCTCCCCCTCACAAGGGTTACCCTGGGAGTGGGAGCTGCAGCTCATGCGTCTGGGGGAGCCGAGCAGGGGCCTGGCTGGACAGTTCTCCCTCCAGTCTCAGACGGAGGGTCAAAAACTGTGTGAAAGGTTGGGGTTTGGACCTCGCTTTCTCTCTCTCTCCTCAGACAGACACAGGCTCGTGACGGGCGGTGAGTCACTGAACACGTCACCAGCCAACAAACTCTAGTAACCTCCCAGGAGCTGCATTTCACACTGCAAATGGGAAAGTTTTCCTAAAGACAGGAGAACTAAGCCACTAATCTCCTACTGCAAATACATCTCTCCTCCTCCTCATGACTTCAGGGCTGTGCTGTGCACAGTATGTACCCAGGTGTACCTTGAAAGGTCGCCACAAACCGAGGTACAAAGCTACAACGTGGTATTAAAACATTTCTGTTGCATTTCACCTTATCAGACCTGTCACTAAAATTTGTTTTGACCGACATGCACCCAAGACACACTTTTAAATGTGTAACTGCTGGAACTTTCAGAAGTTGTTTTATACAGCCTCTTGGGATTCTGAGTAGAGCCACTGAATGAAAAAGTCTGAACCTGATTTAGTTGGCAATGTGTGTTCACACTATTATCCCATCACCCATCTTTCATGCTGCTTAATAGGAAAACTTGTAAAAATTAAAAGAACATAATAAAACCCTGTCACTGCCGAAATGCAAATAGCTGCATGGGTGGTAGCAGCAGGAATGCTCACATAAACCTGTCCCTGTTCTTAAGAAGTCAACTTTAACACAGTGCTGCTTAGAGATACTGTTGGGTCAGGCCATACGTGAGCACTGGTGCCCTTATGACAAAAATGCTGTGCCAGCTATTTACAGTGAAGTGCAAGTTCAACAAATTGATTACACTGTTTTATCCAGTTAGTAAAAGCCTAACTACGGGTGGTAGGAAAATGAGAAAGAAAAGTGCAGCTAACCTTCAGAACTAGTTAGCTTTGCTTATTTTGCCGTAAGAAAACTGTGGAGAGGTGCCACCAGATTTTACTAACACCTTTTGACCAATCTCCCAGGCCAAAGCAGCGCTGTGTGACGGGCACTGAGCTCCCTCCCTGCTCTCTCGGTTTTTCCCGGGCAGAGCTGTTCCACAGCCCACCTTCCCTTCTCTTTAGAGGCTGTTTACCTGCAGCTCACCGAGGCTGAAAAGCAAAGCAGCCGCTCTCCTTACCTTCCTTCCCAGTATTTACACAAGCAATTGGAAAAAGGCACTGCCACCTCTGCTTCCTGCCACTCATGCCCATCATCTGCTGTTGTCTTCCCCGGTCCAAATTGCTGCCCCGTTTCATCAGCTGCATCATTTACCCTGCTTGTCACCACGGTGCTTGTAATCTTGGTTTTCTGGAGCGTTGTACATTAATCCTATGAGTTGTGTTGCTCAACGATTGCCCAACCACAGCTGTTCCTGAGCACTCCTGGCTGAATCACCGCGTGGTCGTTCCCGTTGTTGGGGTGGGAGCCTGTGGTAACCTGACACCCCAATTTTTGTCTCAACTTCACTGGCTTTCAGCCTTCCCAGTACCAGGCAACAATGGGACTTCGGAGTGCTGCTTTTTTCCCCTCCTTTCTTTCTTTCCTTCTTTCTTTCTTTGGAAAATGCTCTCAGGCACACTGTGTGATTTTGGGGGCTGTCC